GTTGGTATGGAATCCCCCAAAGGAGGCCTATTCTGTTCTAAAACAGGGCCAGACACTGGTATTGTTCCTGACGAAGGGATAGGATTGGAAACTGGAATGGTTTCGTCAGAAATATTTGAAGCATTTGGCAAGTTAGCCATGTTTCTTCTTCTTGTTCTCTTTGGTCTCTCTACGTCGGTTACGGCTAATTTACCGCTTCTAAGAATCATACAACGTAGCAAGGAACAATTTGTCTAAAAATTTCTATTAGATTTTATCAAATGCACTGGTCCCACCGGGTGTGCCAATTTGTTCGCTGTGTTTTCTGGCGAACAACCTCTGGTTAACCAATTTCTTCAGAAAGTTGGGTTACTTGCAGGACCAACCATACAAGTCCTAGGATACATGTGCATTTGGTTCTGTCGAAATACTCTTAGACTTTTGGTGACTAACTTGTGGTTTGTTTTATCAATATTGTCAAAGTATTAAGGACTTTGATTTTGCAAGTAACGAAAGTTTGAACTTAAAGGTGAAATAAGGTTAAAAGTTTAAACAAGAACAAAGAAATGTCGAAAGGCTAAAAACTTGCAAAAAAGTAAATGAAATGTAAAATGACATGAACTTGAAGAATAAACAAGTAATTTAAAATGACTTTGAAATATAACTGGTGTTTAAACGTACATTGTTCCAAATACTAGGCTCATTTTCTCTCACACTGGGTACTTAGAGCTTTTACAGGAATTTTGTACAAATTTTCACACACACATTCTAACCACAAACTATCCTATTTATACACAAACAAAATAACTGCTTAGAACGGAAAAACTATAACTAAACGACAAGTGTCAGCCTGCATGTAAATTTCTTCTCTGAAACCTCCATGTGTCCAACTGCCAAAGGTTACAACCTTTTGAAATTTGAATCTCTTCCTTGGTGACGAAACCTTGTAACTCTTCAAAACTGTCGAAACCCTTTTAAAGGAGAAAAACTCTTCAGCACTTGCCAAACCTTATCTTTTATTAACAAACTTCTTCTGTCGAAGCCCTCAGTCACACACTCTCCAAACTATTCTGCCAGAACATTATATCTATTTCTGTCGAAACAATGAAACTTTAAAACCTTGTCAGCAATTCTTGGATTCTCCTCCTGATGCTATCCTTCGACAAAGATGACCTTAAAGCCTGAATTTTAATCTTGTCGAAATTATGGTCTTGTCGAAATTATGGGTTTACAATATCCTAGCGAGCACACTAACAACTAACCTTTTGTTCTCTCGCTGCTGTGCGATCGAGACTTTCCCGCTGACGACTGATGTTATCCTTTTCTCTTGCCCAAGTGCATTTGAGACCAGACCGTAGTTTTATTTCCCATAGGTTCCCGTACCTCTCAAACCAGATTAATTTCTCACTCCTGTGTGAGAACACCCAGTCTAGCCGTAGTTAGCCTGAACTACGTAAGCTATGATCTTCCATGCAGTGTGGAAGTACGTAGGCACAAGACGCGAAGTCTTGGCGAGCCAATTCCCCGTAGTCCCGAACTACGTTGACTCTGACTTTCTCTCTTGAGAATACGTAGGCATAGAGTGCGACGCTCTATCGAGTCAGTTCCCTTCCGTTTAGATTTAGCAGTCGTAGATAGATTGTTTTGCATCCTTTAGACAAACCAAGCAAGCGTGGATCCCGTCGAGTACGACGGACGTGAGGAGTGCTAATACCTTCCCCTTGCGTAACCGACTCCCGAACCCAGGTTTTGGTTGCGATGACCATACCTTTCCCGTTTTTTGCGAGGTTTTCTCTGAGCGTTTCCTTTCCCTCTGTTGGGATAAATAACGCACGGTGGCGACTCTTCTGTCAGCCGGCGCCGATTTTCGCAGTAGCGACACCTCTCTCTCTTGAAATTAGGATTTTATCTTCCTATTTTTCCTTATTCCAAGATTGAGAAACTAACATCCTATTTATAAGAAAAATAGCACACTAACCTAATGGGATTTTTAACAATTATCCATTACAAGCTAACTTAGGGTACAAGCTAACTTAAACAATTGGGTTTACAAGCAAGACCCTATTCAACATGCTAATAACCCTAGCAATATTGACTAATGCATGTTAGAACAAACTTCGACTTCAACACGCATTACTCGCGAATAGACTTAGACCATACTAGAGTTCCATCTCACATCTCACAGTGATGAATATGAAAAAGATAGTGATGATGTTGTGTTGTTTGTAATGAAAATGAAGATGATGAAATTGTTATGTTTATATTGTGGTTTGATGAAAGTGAGGAAGGTTGTGTTGTGTATAGAAAGTTTAAGGTTTAGAGTAGATAAAAGTTAGAGTTTATATTGTTGTTTGATGTGTATAGAAAGTTTAAGGTTGTGTTGTGAAGTCTAGAGGAAGAGGATGAGATTGTTGGTGTAGTTGTGTAGATGGAGATTATGTGAGATAATGATGAATGGAAAGGAGACAGCAAGCGTTTGTGTTTTGTTGTTGATGAAGATGAAAAATGAGATATTTGGTATGAGAGAATAATGAAGAGATATTTTGGTTTATGATAGAATGGTGAGGAGATATTTTACTGTCATAAAAGAGAAGAGAGGAGGGTGTTTTGTGAGGAAAACTAATAAAGTAGGTGATAGAATGAATGGATAATGAAAAAGTGAGAAACTGTAAAAAAAATGAATTTTAAAAATAGAGAGTAGGAATAAGAGTAATTATGTCATCTAATGCATCAATAGTTTTGGGGGGAAAGATTTAGAATCCTGTAGACATATAATTGGTTGACTCATGGGTAGCGAAGAGGAGGAGGTAGTGAATAACATGTGTCTTTTGTTAATTACTGAAAAAGCCTTTTGCAAGTGTAAAATAATTTTGCTAAAAGGGTAATTTAGGGAAACTACTCAATACTATAGTATTAAATAGATATTAGATTTATGTTCCTACATGGAAAAACTTCAAGATAATATCGACCTAATAAGGTATAGGCGTATAAAGGACGATTCAATTGCAATAGTGATTCTTGTAAACTATTGAATCAAGAGATCACGAGGAAAGACGAATTAGAAGAGAGGGGTGTCAGCTTATAATTGAATAAAGATCGTTAGATTCCATAAAAAGTAATACAATGGCATATAACAAAGAAAATACAATTGGAACCAATTATCTCACCAAAATTAAATTTGTCATCGATGATTCATTAGGTTAGAATCAAATCATTGGTGTCGTATACGAAAATCATGATATATGACATTTACTTATCTTCCACTTCATAACAAGATTATGTGTTCCATTAGTACACCTACCCTCTACTGCCGAAGGTTAAAGCCTCCAATAGTGAAGAAGGATAACCCAACTCTACTCTCATTCAGAACCTTTATCACACTCTTAAAAGGGTATTCAATCGGCGGGGCGATATTTCCAACAAGGCTTATGCCGACGAACGTCTATGCATTAACTGGGAGAGTTTTTTTGCATAAACTCATACCTTAATAGCAGGAAAGACGGTCTTCACCATACTTTTTTCATCGACAAGCACCACACACTTTCCAACAAGAGATTATGTTTCATCTCACAAAAGGACCTCAAAGGAAATTGCTTCCTAAGAACACACTGATAAGCGAGAGGCACCCTCTTTCATTTTATGATGTTAAACGTCTCAACGGCGTCCTGATCCACCATATACATATTTTAATTAGTCTAGTGATGAGGGGTGACGACTAATAATGATAATGTAATTTTACAAAGCATTTTCATGTGTTTTGAGTTATTTTCGGTAGATGATGTCTTAGTTTTATGGAAAATGGAAGGCTATTGGAGAAGTTGAAGAAATGTAATAAAGAGGAACTTTTTTGAAGAAAAAATGGTGCATCCTATGAAAAATTCATGTCCCACATCATGACACAATTTTGCAACATTCAGTAAATCATGCCACAATGAAAAAGGATTGTGGCACGATCCTACATTAATTAATCAAGTCATAACACGATGGAAAAGGATTGTGGCACATCCTACAATAAATAAGAATTTCATGGCATGGTGGAAAAGGATCGTGGCACGATTACTCATATTTTCTAACGTTTTTAAAAGGAAAAATGAATGATTTAGCAAGGGTTAGAAAAAAGGTGTTCTCCATTGAAGACCAAATTTTGCAATGAGTTACATATATTCTTTCTTTAAATGTATTGCTATATATTTTGTTAACTTAAGTAGTTAATTTATTTTCAGATTAAGTCTTGTTAGATGAACATGTATGGATTTGTTGGACATGTTTGTGTTTTATATTATTTGCATGAATTGATATTCAGTATTGTTATTCAGTTAATCTCTTGTGTGAATCTTTTAATGTGTTGAAAAACTCATATATGAAACCTATGTTTGTAGGAATTACTTACTATATATATGTGAATCTGAACCAGATCAACTGTTCAACATAGTAATTGATTTAGGAATAAACAATTATAAGTTTTGAAATAAGGTTTAAAGTACCAAATTCGTCTATTTTAACTTCAAACTCACCAAAGGGATTAGGAAGTTGTATAGTGTAAAATAGTGAGCTATACACCAAAGAATTAAGTATAGCGGCCTTGTTAAATCATTGTAATTTTTTAAAAACCAATTTAGGACAAATAGAAACCTTCATCGACAAGGACAAATAGTATACCACGACATGAATCTAAACCAGAATTGTATGAAGCGGTGTTAAAACACATGATCCATGGTCCATGTGGAGTATTGAATCAAAAATATCCATGTATGAAGAATGGTCATTGTAAAAAAAGATATCCAAAAGACTTTTGTGAAGAAACGCGTCAGGGAAATGACTCATACCCGAAATACAAAAGAAGGTTTAGTGATCCCACTTTTATAAATAGAAATAAGTCTATTGATAATAGATGGGTGATTCCTTATAATCCATGGTTGTTGTTGAAGTATGATTGTCACATCAATGTCGAGATTTACAGCAACATCAAAAGCATTAAATATTTCTATAAATATGTTTACAAAGGTCCTGATCGAGTTGCAATGGAAGTTCACAGAGGTACAGGTTTGGATGAGATTCAACAATATGTTGATGCAAGATGGATTTGTGCTCCAGAGGCATTGTGGAAAATATTTAAATTTACACTTTACAAGTTATATCCCTCTGTTGAAAGACTACAAATCCACTTGCCAAATCATCATCAAGTGCGGTTTTATAAGCATCAAAGAATTACAGATGTGCTAAATGATAACAAAAATGCAGTAACCATGCTCACTGAATTCTTTGCACTAAACCAAATGGATCCACGTGCTAGGAATTATTTGTACAAAGAGATTCTAGAGCATTATTATTGGCTAAACGGGGTCAAGAAATGGCAGCGAAGACAGACAAAACGAAAAGTTATTGGTCGAATCTATACAGTATCCCCTTCAGAAGGTGGGAAATTTTATTTACGTGTTTTGCTATCTCATTTAAGAGGTCCAACTAGCTGGGAATGCCTTCTTACACATAATGGTGCATGTTTTTTCACATTCAAAAAATCAGCTGAGGATTGGGGTTATTAGAGAGTGATAATAGTATTCGTGAATGTTTGCTTGAAGCATCAAATATGCGTATGCCATATGCTTTATGAAGGTTGTTTGTGACTATATTAATTTTTCGTGAACCAACTGATGTTAGAGGCCTATTTAATGAGTTTTATCCCTACATTGTGGAGGATTATCAAATGACAAATATTGTTGTGGGGGATAACTTTGAAAATATGTTATTGAGGGAATTGAGAGATCTTTTTCTACTACATGGAAAACTAATAAAAAAATATGATCTTCCAATGTTGACAACGGAAACAAATGAAGTCGGGGGAGTGCCAACAATTATTCAGGAAGAGTTATCGGTCCAAATTCCAAACGAAGAAGTTCAATCTGTTGTGAAGTTAAATAATGACCAGATGAATGCTTACAATATAATTATGAACGCCATCCACGAAAAACAAGGTCAAGTTTTTTTTGTTGATGGTCCTGGAGGGACAGGTAAAACTTTCCTTTATCGAACTATAATGGCAAATTTGAGGCGTAATAATGAAATTGTCTTAGCAACCGCTTCCTCCAGCATAGCTGCTACATTATTACCTGGTGGTAGAACTGCACACTCTCGATTTGGGATCCCCATTGATATAGAGCATCATTCTATTTGCAAAATAGCAAAGAATTCTGACCTTGAAAAACTAATTAGAATAACCAATAAAATCATTTGAGATGAAACACCCATGATAAATAAATATTGTGTAGAAGCATTAAATTGATCACTTCAAGACATCGTGAATAACAATGCTCCATTTGGTGGAAAAATAATGATCATGGGCGAAAATTTTCGTCAGGTGCTACCTGTTATTGAAAAAGGAAATAAAGGACAAATGATTTCAGCATGTATTATTAGGTCTCGATTATGGGCCACCACAAAGGTCATACATTTGCGCCAAAACATGTGATTAATTCATGACCAGGACTTTGCGCAATTTCTGATGAGGATTGGTGATGGTAATGAACCTACTAAAGAGGATGACATGGTCAGGATGCCTGCTGAAATTGTAATACCATGGGAAGGAGAAAGCTCCATACAAAAGTTTATACAACATACATTCCCCCAATTAGAAAACCACGGATGGGTGTCATACCCCAAATTTTACTCTAGATCTTTCCCCGCATTGTGTTTACGATGCAAAAATTAGGTTTTTCCTTTATTTAACCTTTCCTTAGGATAAATAAAAGACCGGTTGTGAATCAAGATTGTGATTCAAATTAATTAATAACCTTTCCCCAGTGAAGTCGCCACTTTCTGTTGCGGTGAGAATATGATATTAAATTATCGATTAATTTGAATCACAATCTTGATTCACAATCGGTCTTTTATTTATCCGAAGGAAAGGTTAAAGAAAGGAAAAACCTAATTTTTGCATCGTAAACATAATTCGGGGAAAGATCTAGGGTAAAATTTGGGGTATGACAATGGGATGCTTCATATATGGTGGAGAGATCGATGCTTACTCTAAAAAATAGTGATGTCCATATGTTGAATGACATGATTATTAATAAATTCCCTGGAGATGAACATATTTTATTATCTTTTGATGAGGTTGAGGGTGATACTCATAATCTATATCAACAGGAATACTTGCACACAATTTCTCCTGGTGCTTTACCACCACATACTTTAAAGATAAAAATAGGGGCTCCACTGATGTTATTGCGAAACATAGACCCTAAATTTGGGTTGTGTAATGGGACAAGGTTGCTATGTCATGATTTTTTTTATGAATTTTCTTGATGTTGAAATACTTACAGGCCACAATGTTGGAAAAAGAGCTTTCTTGCCAAGGATTAAGCTCAAAACCACTGAAGGTGCATGACTTCCTTTTGTGCTTATTAGAAAATAGTTTCCTGTCAAACTAAGCTTTGAAATCACTATAAATAAACCACAAGGACAAACAATTCCAAATGTCGGAGTTTATCTTCCACGACATGTTTTCAGTCACAGACAATTGTATGTTGCTTTATTAAGAGGTGTTTCACAGGCTGAAACAAAAGTGCTAATTAAAGACGGAAGAGTAGATGAGGAAGAAGGGGAGTTTACAAAAAATATAGTTTTTAAAGAAATTTTGTTGTCACAAACTGATCTATTATGTTTAGTCATTCAACTGTACTTTTGCAATCTTACACTAGGCGCGTACTTACTAGATTACACTATACCGTTGACTATTAAAATTTACTTCATTTGTTTTGCAGTGAAATAAGAGATATTTCTGATTTTGATTTCATGGTTTACCTTTCTATTAAGCAATAATATAACTTAATATCCGTGTTAATGTTTATGTTTATTTGCTCAATAATATGTGAGAAATTTTTTTGTTATTATTCTATCTAAATCTTCTTATGGTTTTGAGTAATATATAGCAATATATAAATACAAAATATAATTTTGGTGTAACCTAATTTCTTTTTCCACAATACAGTAATCCCACCCACCAAATTATTCCACTCACATTATTTATTTGCTTGAAAAATCTAGTTAAATAAAGTCACGTCACTGTCACTACTCGAAAAAAAGCAACGACGGGAGAGGCGAAAAGATAGACAGAAGAGTCGCCATCGAACTTTATTTATCCCATGAGGGGGAGGGAAAACATCGAGAAAACCCTAGGGAAGAAATGGATAAGATGGTCTCGCGACCAAGAACGGGTTCAGAAGCCGGTTATGCAAAGGGAAGGTATTAGCACCCTTCGCATCCATCGTACTTGATGGGAACCATTTGTTTGTCGATGTGTGAAGATATTTGCTAAAATATTATTGCTAAATGAGTGTGTTCTAGGGGATAAAGAGAAAGGATAGAGACCGGGAAAAGAGAGGTAAAAGGGGAGAAGAAAGGACTCGGTAGGATTTTGCGGTCCTAGGCCTACATATTCTCAACAGATATGAGAAAGTCAGAGTCGACGTAGTTCTGGGAACTACGGATATAGGGGGAATGTGCTCGCCAAGACATCGCCGTCTCGTGCCTACGTATCCTCATCTGGCATGAGAAATCAGAGCAAACATAGTTCAGGATAAGGTTAACCGATGTTTTCATGGATGATTTTATCGTGCGCATTCTAGCAGTTTAAGCATATTGCTGCTCGATCATTGGAGACTTAGGCGTTACCTGTTTGCGGTAGAACGAACGTAACATATTCTTTTTTGAAATATTAGGTTTCGCCATGCGAGGCAAGGTGTCGCGTTTGATTTGTGAGTTGTTTTTTAGGGGTGAAATAGATCCTCGGATAGTAACCCCTTGCGGGTAATACCCAATTCTTTATCTCAAAGCTTTATTATGGAAATGGTGTGGCGAACGTAGCGTCTTCGTATTGAAAGACGAGTATCAAGACCACACACACTACAGTGAGTATCCTGACACTCGGAGAGGAAGAAGTCTACACTCAATCCTCTCTCTTTAGTTCAACACAAAGAGAACTTCATTCTCTTATTAAAAATGTTTTTGGTTTTGAATGGTAAGTGCTTTGCGACTGTAAACCCTACGGTAAATGTCAAGCACTCGGGATAAGAGAAGGCCTACACCTAACCACTCCACGACCATTCAAGTTTTTGTTGTGAAAATAATTTTGAAAAAGGAACTCAACACAGGACCGAGGTTTTATTAGAGCAAGGTGTGGCGAATATGGTTACGTCTTCGTATTGAAAGACGAGTATCGAGACCACACACTCTACAGCGAGTATCCCGACACTCGGAGAGGAAGAAGTCTACACTAAATCCTCTCTCTTTTGTTCAACATAAAGAGAACTTCATTCTCTTATTAAAAATGTTTTTGGTTTTGAATGGTAAGTGCTTTGCGACTGTAAACCCTACGGTAAATGTCAAGCACTCGGGATAGGAGAAGGCCTACACCTAACCACTCCACGACCATTCAAGTTTTTGTTGTGAAAATAATTTGGAAAAAGGCACTCGACACAGGACCGAGGTTTTAGGAGAGAAAGGTGTGGCGAATACGGTTACGTCTTCGTATTGAAAGACGAGTATCGAGATCACACACTCTACAGCGAGTATCCCGACACTTGGAGAGGAAGAAGTCTACACTCAATCCTCTCTCTTTGATGTGTAGATGCATTACCATAAGCTTATTCCCTTGGTCTTGTGACATGAAATGGCTTTGTGATATAATGTAAATTGTCACTTTTTGCATGGGGCTGTTTTAGATCACATTCAAAATGCCCATGAATACATGCATAACCTTGATCTTGAAATATTCTAACATTGAGTTAACTCTTTAAATGTTTTCCTTGAAAGTTTGTAAGCACAAAAGAGGGTCATGTGGACTTGATGGGGGCATGAAGGGTACCATAGCATGAAGTTAATTAGAAGCTTGAATTAAGACTAGAAATAACTTAATTTTCTAAGCATTACTAAGAGTTTGAAACTTTGTAACAAATGTGACATTCTTATAAATGTCATGAAATTTCTCTTTGAATTTAGTCTTGAATTCCATGAACCTTGAATTTGGAATAATGGGTCTCCCTTATGCCAATCAATTTGCAAAGGATGAAGTCTTGAATTATAAATTGGTGATCTTTGAACTCCACTTAAACATGGAGTTGGAAACAAAGTTGGATGGAAAAAATCTTGAATTAGGCCTTGCACTTCATGTTCCTTAGGAATATTAATCTTGAATATCCTAATAAAAAGATGGCAAATTTTAGGGTGCAACAATCACAATGCAATTTTCTCAATTCAAACAAAATTTAATGCACAAATATTACATATTGTAAACAAAACTTAATATGTATCTGAATAAAAATAAAATGTTTCATCATATAAATAATTTATATTAAAATCAATATAAATAGTTTATAGTAAAATCAAATTTATAAAAAAATACGTTGTTAATATTTTTACGCGTTAACACAATAAAAAAACGGACAAACGAGCACAGAGTGTTTGTTTGGACGCTAGTTATTAATAATAAGAAAACTTTACCCTATATCTTTACTATCAGCCATATCTTAATATCTATCAAACTATT